GAAATTGCTCAGCTCGTGACTTGGTGATCAATGGAAGATATTAATGTTTTGGCCGCCAGGGGTGGGCGTTCCCCTAATGGTGTAACATCATGTAAAAACTATCAATTTCATTAATAAAAGAAAAGCGAAACAGCTTTTTTTTATTATAACACTAACACACAGAAAAGCTGTGGAGATTGTGAGCTCCAATGAATCCTGGGAGCATTAAGTGGCTCTGCTGGAAGTGACACCACAAGCTTCAAATGCGGCGCACAAGGAATATGTGATGAGGCAGTAATCGAGATCCTTTGTCATGTTGCTTTTTTCACACTGAGAAAACAGAATGAACCAAAAATTACGGTCTCACCATTGTTATTAAAGGTTACAGTTTCAACAATATTCATGCGTTTTGCTGATCCCTGACATCGAAAGCCACAGATCTGATTCATGTTCTGTTTGCTTTTGTGTGTCCTTTCAATCAGATCTGCAAACCACATTTCCCAAAGCCCCAAACTCTCATTCTGGTTTGCAATGCATGTGGAGGAACATGATGTATAGATCTGATCTTTCTATTCTCTCTCTCCTTTCTCCCTCTGCATTTTCAATGCACCGCCACAGTGTGTGTTGTGAATGAAGCGGAGAGCGAGCGTGATAGAGAGAGAGAGAGGGAGAGAATGAAATAAAGCATTTGGAAGGTGAGTCATAACTCAATAGCCTTATACGAGTGCAGCATGGTGGGTGTGAATGACGTACAGACTCTATTCTAGAATCAGCTGTGGCCATGAAAATAACATTCCAGGGTCCCTGACTAACCTGCTGCTCGGCTCTTAAAGCTTCACACCTCTAAGTGATAAATTGTCGGGCTCAGATTAAGATGTTGCTTTCCTTTCATTGGATAGACGCACACGCACACACACAGCCGTTTGCATTGTGCATCTGCTGTTATTGCTACCTTCAGTTTGGGTACACGCTTTAAGCTTTGTGGTCAGAGAAACTCTGTGAACCTGAGCGTGATGGCATTGCAGATGTGGCTCAGGTCATTGATGTGATGATCATTCTGCCTGTCTCGTCTATCGAAAAATGCATAAGATACTTAATTAGAAGTATGTACTGTATAATGATTTCACACACACACGTCTTTGATGATATATGGGGGCACACACTAATTTAAAATTGTCAAGGTAATGTGGTCAGGGTACAAACATAATTACATTTTTCCAAAAACACTATATATTAGGGGTGTAATGGTGCACTATGGTTCATGGTCATGGTTCGTTACGGCAGACCGGTCACCGCTTGACAATTGCTAGGTGACCATCAACAGTTTTCTCAGAGGATGACAAGCTGGCAAGACATTGCTGAAACTCTGATACAAGTTTTATTTATGGAGAAAATGACAAAGCACTGCAGTGTTTGGGTGTTCTGTGTTTGTCTGAGATAACTAATCAAACCAGATGTGTATATTCCATACAAAGTATGAAGCTTATTGCACAGTTCTTATCACGTGACTCAAGGCATTCCTTCAACTAGGTGCGTCTGGAAGGCGCGAGTGCATCACGCAACTTGAGCATGCAAGCCGAGCACCGCCATTGGAAATAACAAACTTGCACGAACTCTAGAAAAGTGATATGCGAACGGCCCCTTAAAGGGCCTCCAGCAGTTGATCTTTTTGCACAGACATGGTGGATACACCTGAGTTGTTGACAAATGGGTTGCGGATCCATTCCTTGGCAATTTGCAGTAGAGGTCTGTGACCAGATTTCTGCGGGGTGGAAATAAATTTCCGGATGAATCGCGGGAGTGGTCAGTAACTGGTTTCATTTTGGACTCCCGAGCAAGCGTGCTCGTGTATGTATGTGTGTGAATGAGACAACGTGATGCTGCATTTAGCTTGATTGTTGCTGTGTGTGTGTGATGCCTATTTGTGTGTGTCACTTGCTTGGTGCTTATGTGTGAGTGTGTGTGTATTTATACAGACAGCTTGTTATAGGCTGTCTGGACTGTATAGCTGTGTGGTTTTCGGTTTTGTTCTCCCCCCAGCTCGTTAGCAGGAACGGGCCAGCAGGTAGAAAATGGGGCGGGTTGCGCAGCGGGACAACAAATCCTGAATATAAAATAAAACATTTTTCAAAATAAAAGATCGTTTAGACTTAGATAAAAAATAAAACTGAAATAATTCATGATTTCTTGTTTGGCCTGGTACCAATTGATCCACGGACCGGTACCGGTCTGCGGCCCGGTGGTTGCGGACCACTGGAGTATGGTACGTCTTGTGCTGCAAAAGTACAAAATACATTTTTATAATTAGGAAACTGTGTCAAACTTCCTTACGTGCGCACTAAATGAATCTTTTTTTTCATAATTTTTTTATATAAATATGGTTGAAGAATGGTTGAAGAATGTGTGTGACCATTACAAACTTGGATATGGGACTAGTGTTGCAAATTTCTGTTTAGGGTGGCAAGTTGATATGGCAATGACAACATGTCGGAAAAGTTACTGAGGACTGCGTCTCTTGTTTTCAGACAGAAGAAGGACGCATTCTTTGTGAATGACTGCTAATGCCGAGTTCAGACTGCATGATTTTCAAAGTAGTCACGTCAAGGATGTTTTCACACTACATGACTGGAGTAGAGTTCTGTTACTCCTATGGTAACACTACAAAATGGATCGGCGACAGGGGGTTTCCCACTGCATGACTTTCTCGGTCCGCAAACTACGTCTCACAACAAACACACATTAGAAGTGACTTGAAAAAAACACAAAGTCACATAGTATATCTTTTGCTATTTACTACACAATGAGAAAGAAGCCTATTGGGGGGTAGAAAATCTACTTATTCTGCTCACCTGGCTTTTAAAGGGAATTAGCATTTTTTCTTAAACTTTTTTCGTTTGACCCGGTTGTGGTTTTGCTCAGAATGACACATCAAACAGACATGGGTGCACTTGCCAAATTTCCACTAGTTTTTCCTTCATTTCTTGGGTTCAAATAGACTGAAAAGAAGACCTTTTAACTTCTCCACTGTCAATAGTTCACACTGTGTGATCATTACTCACGTGAATGAGCACCGATTTGACTGTGATTTCAGATATTTGTTGGTGAGTTCTCAAAACCGGTCGGTGAGTCAAAATTGAGAATAAAATCATGCAGTCTGAAGTCAGCATAAGGTGCTGCACTGCTGTGGTCTTTTCTATTCAACTCCAGTGACTGTATTTATCATTGCAATGCAGAAAAAAAGTCTGTCTCACATCAATTTGTTAAATATTTACGAAATTTAATCTATCACAAGCACAAATTTTCCTCTTGTTTCGTGTTCCTTAACACGACTTACTTACTAACCTACTCTATTTTCAACCCATTTTTTTGTGTTTCTCAACATGACTTTTCACCTATTGTATCTCAACTAGCTTTATCTTTGGTATCTCCCAACTCATCATAAATATGCATACTTTTAGAAATATTTAGAAGCACCTAACCCAGCATCTACACCAAACACTCACTTCATGTGAATTTATTGCTATATTAGACCATAATAATTCATACAAACAAGTCATGTTGCATTCCGAGCCCTCTGAAGCCAAACAATCAGAGTTATTTGTGGGGTTTTAATAGCTGAAAATGATCTGGGTTCTGCTCGTTGATATCTGATCTAAAAAGAAAATTCTGCACATTAACATGACGCAGTTGGTCATGAGACTAGGAATTGATTTACATGCTCATGGTGTAGTGTAAATTCAATCATTTTGACCATCAGAAGTGAGAATGTGTTTCAGTAATGTGCACTGTAGTGTTGGTGTTGTTTGGTCACATGTTTAAATGTATTGCCGATCAGCTGTGCTGATGATTCAAAACATCTGTGGCTAATTATCATGCCGATATCTAAGCGCTGGGTTTTTGTGTCATTGTCAGTTTGTTATCATTGGTCATTGTTGCTCTGTGTTTTGTCAGGATGCTCTGTGGTTCTCAGGACTTCATCTGCTCTTCTATACAGCAGAACCTTTATTTTCTTTTTCCTGTTTTAAACTGTTTTTCACTGTTTACCATTACCATTATTAACTAAAAACCTTGCATCCTGGATCCTTCTTTGTTATTTACTATTTATGGGATTGTGACAAATATGTCTTGTCTATTGAAAATCTTTAGTCAGTGGTCATGTTGAGGAACATAATTTGCAGAGACAATTTGTGTCCGTGAACATGAATTGATAGATTAAATTGTATGACTATATAACAAACTGGTTTGGATGTATGAACTTTGTGTTATTGTTTTTTATCTCCTGAATCTCAAATTCTACCTTTTTTCACTGAGTTATGAGAAATCATTTTTGTTACACTTTAGTTTAGGTCACAATTCATGCTATTAACTACTGGGTTTACCTGAATATTTATTAAGATATTAACTGTTCATTAGTAGTTCATCTTATTCTGCATCCCAAAACCTAAACCCAATTTCTACCTTACTAATTACTATTACAAAGCTAATTAGTAAGTAAATGGTTTCTTACGGTGAATTGTAACCTAAAGTGTTACCCGAATTTTTGTCTGTATCTTTCCTGTGGCAATAGATTCCTACTTATATATGTATGCATGTCTATATGCGTGACATACTTTATGGACATTCCAGTTTAAAACTCTGCTTTATGTTGATGACATGTCAGTGTCCATCTGTGATATGACTAAGGAAGCCAGGCCAGATTTATTCCATCTCTGTGGAGTTTAAGAGGTGTTTGGCTGTCTCTGCATTAATGAATGGGATTTGGCCTAAGCCCTAAAGATCTCACGCTTCCGTCTGTTAGACATCTGCGGAAATTACAAACGCACAACACTCACTCGCAAAGCAATTTACGACACTGTAATATATAGTCAAAAGAAATCTAATGGAGATGAAACATCAGATTGACAAAATAAAGGACATCTGCTTTTGATTGGTGATATCAGAACACTTTCAACTTGAACCTGTTAAAATGAGGAAGACAGTGGTGGCTTTCAACAGCCGTTGACTCAGATACAGGTACTTACACGACAGAACTACCAATTAGGTGCTTCACAGGGTCTTGTTAGCCTGTGTCTTCTCTGTCCAGCGTTAAGTTTCTGACACAGTACACTGTGCGCCTAGAGGGAAGGAAAGCAAAAATGAGAGAGCAGAAATCACATGTCTTCAAGTCCTGTAGTGTGGACGTGAGGGATCAAACGCAAGACAGAATATGACAGTGGTTTTTTGAAAGGTTTTTGGACTCTAAAATGAATCTCTTGTGAGGCGCAGTCTTATTAAAATGCAGGGTGGGGAGTGCAAGTGCTATGCATGCCATTTGAGAAAAAAGTAATAATGGAGACTGGCCAAATATGAATATTACTATAAATTCATTATGAGGTGTCACATGAGGCCTAAATAATGAAATGTTAAGAATATATGGGTTGATGACTTGACTTTGCGTTTTGAATGTTTTGCATAAATAAATATAATGAGTATTGACATCATTTAAAATGCAGTAAATGGTTAAACATTTATTTGTCTTCTTATAAAACTGCTAAATATATTCAAACTAACTCTCAAAACTTTTCTATCGTGTGATTGTGTCAAGCATAGTTCAATAAATTACAACTTATATAAATTAAAAACAACATTAAAAAAAATATTAATACCTTTAATTATAGATGATTTCATGCTGTCCACAGATTTCTCTAACAAATGAAAAATGTGTTGTCACTACCTAATCTTGATTACCAAAAAATCACATTGTATTTTATGCTAATCTAATTTAGCTAAATCGAATAATTTTTTTTTAAATGTGTTTACTTTAATTTCCCTTCTTATTTAAAGCAATTTTTTGTTCCATTTACATCATTATATTCGCTTCGTCATGTGCAACAGAATTATTTTTTGGTTCCCAGAATTTCTACAGAAAGTGGCCGCAGGTCCTTTCGATACAAAGCCCCTTCCGACTGGAACAATCTCCCTTCTTTTTTTAGATCAATTAAATCACTTCGTCTTTTCAGGGCTAATTTATTCTCTCTTCTGGAAACAACTTGCGAATGTTATTAAATTTGGCTCCAAATTAAATGTTTATTATTTATTTGCATATCAAATTGTTTGTACTTTTGATTATATGTTGTTGCTTTTTTAGGCTTGGGATTGTGGGAAGTGTTTCAGGCGGAGTGTGCTGCTTGTTTGATTGTTTGTTTGTTTGTTTGTCTTGTCAAGTGTATGTGCTTTATGATGTGTTGTACTCTGTTTGATTTGTGAACTTTTTAGGGACCCCCTCGAAAATGAGATGATTCATCTCAAGGGGCTATCTCATTCAATAAATTCAAATTCAAATAAAAAAACACTGCAAGTTAATATTTTCATTCATATTTCATCTAAATATGCAAATACCAAGTTACATTTCTTTGATGCCGACACAGCATGCTCAAAGTACACATTGTTTAGTGACATTTTATAAAGTGAAAATTTCAGAGTGAAAAGTTTTAGCATTCCTTTTTGTTTTTGTTTTTTTTGTTTGTTTTTGCCCTGTGCTTGCCAAAAAAAAGCACTAGGAAGAAATACTGACTGGTCTTTTTATTGGGATTTTGCCTTCAGAGCTGGCTTAGGCCCCGTTTACACTATTAGCTTTTAGTTTTAAAACGCAAAGTTTTGCTACGGTTATGCCATCCATCCACACTACGCTGCAGTTTTCTAGCACCGAAAACGGGTCGTTTTGAAAACGCTGGAGAGACTGTTTTCATTCTATAATGCTGCTGCTCCGTCTCAGTGTGGATGGGGGAAAACGGAGACATCTGAAAATGGAGGCAGGGCTGCAAACATTCGCCTCTCTGATTGGGGCTCCTCCTTCTGTATTAAGTAGCCTACACACAGTTCAGTCCTGCATCCTCTCCTTTTAAGTTCAGACTTTGCAAGTTTGATATATGGAAAACTCCAGAGGACATGTCGGGTAAATCTTCAAAGGGAACAGTTTACTTTATAACCTCATTTATATCATCCAACGTTGTTTCACTTTTTTTAACAAAAAAATTAAAACATGATTTAATGAACTGCTATTTTCATTTTGATATTAGCAACTTAATAGACAGCAGAAATGTTGAGGTGTTGTGTAGCTACATATTTATATGAGCATCATCTTCACTATATGCACATTTTATAACAAAACGGAGCCTATAACATTGCTGCCTCCTTTCATTTTTATTGAAAATACGAAACATACCCTCTCTTTTGCTGAATATCAGTTTTAATAATCAATAATGGCCATTATAAAAGTATAATGTACAATAAGTTTATACATTATAGGAAATAAAGGCAAGCAATCAGTCAATATACAGAATGTATGGGGTTACATTAATTATTAACTTATCTTTACGCTCAGCCAAAACATGTTACCTGAGAACAAGTAATAAATTCAAAAGACTAAAATCGGGAATATATGGTTTTAAGTATAGACAACAAGATGAATTACAAATCACGTTTAACACATACAGTGAGATTAGATCCAGCGGTAGATCCTTGATGAACAGTCCGACGAGCACAGCTCTCATCTATGCTGTAGTGCATGCCAGTGTGTGTGTGTGTGTGTGGTCACATGGTGTGCTTTTTTAGTGGTGTGGTGTGGTGTAGATAGAGAGTTGTTCAGAAACGGTAGGTGAAATGCTAGTGTGAATGCAGATCATTTTCATTCTAAAACACCGTTTTAAAACTTTAGTCCTTTGTGGCATAGATTCAACAAGGTACTGGTAATATTCCTCAGAGATTTTAATCTATATTGACATGATAGTATTACGCAGTTGCTGCAGATTTGTCTGCTGAACATACATAATGCGAATCTCCTGTTCCACCACATCGCAAAGGCGCTCTATTGGATTGAAATTTGGTTACTATTGAGGCCATTTGAGTACAGTGAACTCATTGTTATGTTCAAGAAACCAGTCTGAGATGATTCGTGCTTTATGACATGGCTTCTGGAAGTGTGGTCATGTAAGGATGGACATGGTCAGGTAGGCTGTTGATACAGCAGATGCCCTTCCAGCTGCAACCCATCACCGGGAAACACCCATACACTACCATTCACACACGTACACTGTGGACAATTTAGCTTACCCAGTTCACCTATAGTGCATGTTTTTAAACTTGTCAGGGAAACCAGAGCACCTGAACCCACACGAACACAGGGGAAACATGCAAACTCCACACAGAAATACCAACTGACCCAGCCGAGGTTCGAACCAGCGACCTTCATGCTGTGAGGTTTGAGATGTGAGTTTTTTTATATTTCCAGTATAACAATCTAGGAAATACATACTTTATAATTTTCCAACTAATGTCTAACATAATAATTACTTAAAGGTGTGAACGTTTAAATATAATTCATTTTCACAATGATAAACTATTCACTTGATGATTTTCTGACTAATTAAAAAGTAGAATGAAAATGTTTGCTGAATAGATTAAACATAATTAAAAAAATATTAATGAATAACTTTGACAACTCTAAATTTGAAATTTCTAAAATCTAAAGTAATAAAAAAGAATTAAATACAATGCAATACAAAATACATAGTACATGCAGTAATTGAGAGGGTATATACAAAGTTTCATTGCTACTAGTATAATTTTAAGCAAAATAATCAACACTGCTCTCCACCACACACAAGTTCTTTTAGTTGCAGTTTTAAAGCAGTTGTGGTAACATAATGTTGGCACCGACAGAGAATCTCCTTGGTTAGAAAAGAGTTTAATGTGGTCAAAATTCGATTTGAAAAAAGTCACGTAGACCAGCTGCATGCAAAGTGTCAACAGCTCCACTTAGCACTTAAGAAACAAAGTTCAACAGCTTCACACAAGGAGCCAGACCACATCAGAGAGTTCAGAGAGTCTCAAAGAGAGAGCCAATATCTGCAGCAGATAGCCAAAAAAGAAGAGGAAATTGAATGTAATCACAATAAGGACCCTTACCTGCCAGGCATGCTCATGTCACTCACAAAGACATAAAAGCAGCCACACGTTTCCCAACAGGAGAAAGTCTGCAGGTGCTTCTTCTAAAAGACTCCACCGGGAAAGTTGTCTGACTTCTTTTTGCATTATAAGATGCCCCAAACATGACCAGAAGCTCGGATAGGAGAGTCTGGGAGAGGCAGTGCTCCACACCTTTATACACTGCCATCAATACAGCGATCCCACGAGGATATGCCTTATTGCACACCTGGCTCATTGCACTTCAATTGGGCCCCCAGGATATTTATGATGCACCTGCACAAACAGGCCATGTGGGTTCTTGCCAAGACCCTCTAAGATGCATCCTTGGGACTCGGTCCAGAATGTGCTCAACAAGGTCTCCGTCAGCCCACTTACATGCCCAGATTTGCCCCATCTTCACTTGAAAGATGCAGTTGTGCCTGAGGCTCACAGTCACCACACCAAACTAATACCCTTTATTTCCCTGTGCTCCTCACACCAAACACACACATACACATACACGCACGCACGCACACACACAGACACACACACATACACACACAGAGCTTGTTGCTAGCTTAGACTTGGTGATAAAAAAAAAAATATATATATATATATATATATATATATATATATATATATATATATATATATATATATATATATATATAATTGGTCCTAATTTTTATTTTATTTTTTTGCAATAAATAAAGATTTAGAGTCATTTTATACAGAATTTGTTGGATTAAGTCAGATTTTTAATCACAGCAGATGTAGTATTCTGATCAATTGTCATTTTGGTATTGACTTTAATAAGGGGTTTAAACACAGTTTGGCAACAGTGTGTGGATATAGCCAGCTTCTAAAGGTAAAAATAAGTTAACTCTGTTTTGATTGACAATATCCCTTTGTACATGTCATAGGAGGGGGATTAATGATGCCCATTAATGATGATCTCTTCTTTATTGTCATAAACAGTCCTGAGTGAGAAGCAGTCATCCACCATTAGAGTTTTAGCAGCATACCTGCTGATTGGGGGACTAAGAGGCACCATGTGTGTGGAGTTTTAGGATGCACACATGAACACCAGAATCGCCATGGACTACCTTTTTCTGAACCACTTCTTTTGAGTTTTTCAGTTTTTCATAAAGATAACGTTACGCCTGTTTTGAATATGCCATTATGCTGATGCATAGGCATTTGTAGCTCTGCACAATCTCGTTTGAATTTTAAGCAACAGTCACCAAAACACCCAACTTAGGCTCATTCTGAAAACATAGCCCTATATATACGTTTCTGGAGATCGTGAATTTTGTAGCCAGAAGTATGTATGGCTGCATTTCATCTTTTAAAATAATCACTACAGGGCGGTATGTTGCTGTTTGTTTTCATGCTTACCAGCTGACTGCTTATCTCTGTATGGACTATTTTACCACTATTACCAGTTTGTACAGAAGCTCGCCATGTACGTCGGTGAACTTGAAACGCAAAGTGAAGTTGACCACCACAACAGGGTTCAAGTCTGGTGAAGAACGATTCCAGAAAGCGGGTAAGACAAAAACAGAAGCCAAAAAAATTAAATAAACAAGTAAATAATATTGAGAATGTGAAAATCTGAAAAAGCTTTATAGGGCTTTTCTTTTTCTAGATTGCTTTTTAAAACCGTCGGTTGGGTTCAGGAAAGGGGGTGGGCGGTGAATTTGTGCTTTTAAAAATACTATTGATTGAGTTTAGGGAGGGAGGAGGGTGGGTAGGTCAATCGATCAGCCAGTCAGTCAGTTGACAGCGGCCACTGGTGGATTTACGCGAGAAGAGCGAGCGCAAATGGCACTCACAAGAGAAATTTGCAATCTACAGTACACAGCGGCTTCTGGTGGATTCGCGAAAATAAAAACTGATAAAAACATATCTCCTGGGGCGTATTTGGTGCTCTTCAGAAATGTATATAGCAGTACATTTTCAGAATGAGCCTGGGTTGAAAACACCCCAATTTGGATTAAAGCCTAAAAGAGTTTCAAAAACTTATAAAATATTATGCGTGTGGTATTTTAAGATAAAACTTCACATACGCACCCTAGGGAAAACATACTTATTTTATACCTTAAATAAAAAGGGCAATAATAGGTCCCCTTTAAGATATTTTATTTGAAATAGGGAAGAAATGTTGTTACTTTAGAATCAAATAAAATTATTATAAAATGTTACTCATACCCGTATGTAATAATTCCAGTAAATAAAACTCAATTTTTGTTATGTCAATGTTAATGTCATTGTCAATTTTATTTATATATTACTATTTAACACAACCAAAAGTTGACCAATGTGCTGCACAGTACAAATCAAAACAGAGAAAAAACTAATATATATATACCATTACAAAATTATAGCTAAAACAGACAATTTTCACTGATAAAATGCCAAATCAAAGAGGTAAGTTTTCAACCTAGATTTAAAAGCAGACAGTGATAAAATAGATCTGATACAGAGGGGCAGAGCATTCCACAACCTAGGACCAGCTACTGTGAAGGCACGGTCACCTCTGCATTTCAGCCTCGACTTAGGGATGCATAATAGTCTTTGGTTAGATGACCAAAGAGACAGACAAGGCTGATGCTCAATTGACGTGTCTGATAGATAAGAAGGTGCCAGGCCATTTAGAGATTTAAAAACCAAGAGAAGCATTTTAAAAGTGACTCGATAGTGCACAGGCAGCCAGTGCAAAGAGTGTTATAACTACTTATACTGTATATTTCAAATTGTATCAAGTGAATATTGTTGAAATAAAATAAGTGCACTTTCCTTATGTTGTGGTTGGCCAATCACAATTAAGTATGGAGTTGCATAACTTTTTATTCAACACCTTTAATTCCAAGACTGTGTGCTGTGATCAAAAGAATATAATAAATTGCTCTTCTTATTTCTCAAGACAAAGAAAGGAAAAGATCTGTTTAAGTTGCAAATAATTAGATTTTACAGTTCATCCTTAGCTTTTATTAATTCAAGAATATTTCTGCCTGCTACTTAATAAAACCTATGGACAACTTGCCATTAGGCGGAAGTACTTGTGTGTGACTAACATTCTGCTTCTACGTCTTCAGAACAAATGTTCAAGGTTATCTTCAGACAGAGAATAGCAATTCACCAAGATTACACAACACCAAAATTCAGGTGCTTGTTCACCTCTTACACAACTGAAAAGAGTTCTCACAGTCTGGTACAAAGATCAGCTCATTTTGATGGATATGAGAGTTAAAGATAATCCATTCAATCACAAACACACACACACACACACACACACACACACACACAAACACACACATTTTATAATGTCTAATCCCTTGTGTTCCCAAAATAGCAATCCGTTCACTACTTTATTCACTGCAAAATCCAACTTGCATCATAAATTATGTTGGTTAATGGTTGAAGAAAAAATAAATAAAATTGTGTAAAGGACAGAACTAAGTCAATTAAGCCCTTTTTGATTACAATAAAATTCTGTCATCATTTACTCACCCTCATGTCGATCCAAACTTTATATACTTTTGTTCATGCTTGACACAAATGAAGATACTTTATATCAAATCTATTAAAATTTCTATTAATATCAAGATTTTTGTATTACTGAAAGTTTATTCACCCAAAATGCTTCAAAACATTCATGAATCTTAATCAATCATATGGTGTTTTTTCAAAGAGACATGATTACTTGATATTTTTTTTATTTTAATCACATACAATACAAACACTGATTAGCAATCACAAAAAAGTAGTCAAACCATTCTAAGCATTATAGGCTTAGAATTTTTAAATGATTCCTAAACAGGGAGTTAATTCAAGAACAATAAAATAAGAAAGATGATTTATTGTATAATTTTGTTTTCTGGTTCTAGTTAGACCAAACTTTGCACAACAGCCTGTAATTCAAGCCTAGGCTCATTGGAAATACAGTTGCAATCAGAATTATTAAAGCCCCTTTGAATTTTTTTTTCGTTTTAAAATATTTCCCAAATGATGCTTAACAAAGCAAATAAATTTTCACAGTATGTGGGATAATATGTTTTCTTCTATAGAAAGTATTATTTGTTTTAGATCAATCTATAGGTCAAAATTATTAGCCTCTTTAAGCTATTTTTTTTCAATAGTCTACAGAACAAACCATCGTTACACAATAACTTACCCTATGCTGCCTAGTTAACCTAATTGACCTAGTTAAGCCTTTAAATGTCACTTTAAGCTGTATAGAAGTGGATTGAAAAATATCTAGTCAAATATTATTTACTGTCATCATGGCAAAGATAAAATAAATCAGTTATTAGAAATGAGTTACTAAAACAATTATGATTAGAAATGTGTTGAAAAAATCATTTCTCCATTAAACAGAAATATGGGGAAAAATAAACATGGGGGCTAATAATTCAGAGGGTTTAATAATTCTGATTGCAACTGTACGTGTCTCAGCCTACATTTTTGAGAAATGTAAAATACTTTGCTCTGGTTAAGTTTCATTGCACGTTTAAATGACAAATCCACTAGAGGGTGCAGGGTGCATTTTAGAGAATCTGAAATACATTTCTTAGTGTATGTTGTTGTAGATGCGTACATGTTATTTTTGTACACGTCCATTAGAAGTCCCTGAACCCACACAAAACCAAACAAAAGAAAAGTGCTCTGTAACCACATCATTTTGCACTGCTTTAATCTTTTTTGTAGACCCGTTCTTCTCCGGACTCAAACCTGAGTGCTCTTTATCAGTAAAACTACATATTCTCAAGTAAAACTACCATGCAAACTGACCAAGCCAGAAAAGTTTACCAAAGGGAGATGGATAGATAAGGCAAAACTATCAAAGTAGCTCAGTGGTTAGAATTGTCGCCTCACAGCAAGAAGGTTACTGGTTCAAGTCCCGGCTGGGTTAGTTGCCATTTCTGTGTGGAGTTTACCTGTTTTTCCTTGTGTTTCTGTGGGTTTCCTCTGGATGCTCCTGTTTCCTCCACAGTCCAAAGACATGCAGTATAAGTGAGTTGGATAAATTAAATTGGCCGAGTATGTGTGTGAATGAGGGAGTTTATGGGTGTTTCCCAATATTAGGTTGCGGCTGGAAGAGCATCTGCTGCGTAAAACGTATGTCGGAATAGTTGGCAGTTCATTCTGCCGTGGCGACCTCAGATAAATAAAGAACTGAGTCGAAGGAAAATGAAGGAAACCACCAAAACCAGTACACACACACACACACACACACACACACACAC